TTGGGCTAAGGAACTGCTTAGTAGGGTTCGTTATGTTTCGCTTTTGATAATTGTTTTTGCACTTAGAATAAATGCTAAATTGATGCGCTTGAGAGTATATGTTTCCAAATTAAAGTCCCCGTCCGTACACGCTACTTGTTAACTCGGGTACATTCCCGGGCCATTGTATTGTGGATAGCCGCTATTGTGTTGACAGTCCCACCCAGAAAGGGGTGCACAATTACCTATGTTTTCTAGCCTAATCATGTGGAATTTGGACCACCGCTGAATTAGTGCTTTGTCGAACCGTGGGACCAGAGTAGTGAACGGGCTACTTCTGGTTGTTCGAAAATTAATGGGGCATATTGGTCAGGTAAGGCTCAGTAGCGTCTCAAGTGTTACATCGCGAGGGATTTACATTTATTAAGTGCAAAGAATTCGCATAAGTTTGCTATTACTTGGTTTATGCATTGAAATATTTTATGCATGTGAAAACCCGTGAACTCACCAACTCTTTGTAGTTGACCTTGTTTTTATTCCATGCTTTTCAGGCTCTAAGTGAGTGGTTTGGTGAACCGTTTTGTTTTTGAACAACTTGAACTGGTGTTATTTTTAGACTGTTGCTATGACTCGCTTGTCTGTTAGCATTCCGTGTTTCCGCTTTGGCGGGGTGTGACAAATTAACGGGCCAGCCTCAATAACCCGGTCACATCCTCCTTCATCATTGTAGCAAAAAAGTATATACCATTTTCCTTCATCATAGCATCAGAGTTTCCATATTTTCCCCAAGTCGCTTTGACAAATTTTTGCACCAATTGGAAGTGAATAGGGGGCCCAAAATAGAACCATATAAAACCATATTATAAGATCTTCCTGCCTCCTTGGCCATTTCAATCAGAATCTTCACACTCACCTCGTTTTTATCGACAAGAGGGTAGAAGTTCAGTTCCATATCCACCGAGCGGCCAACCGCTTTGGCAAAATTTAGCTTCCCATTTACCATTCCATCCATACCAATAGTTTGGTTACCACCCAAGCCTTACTCTAGAGACGAGATTCTCTAAAAAACAGAAACCCTACTAGGTTCTGCGGGTAAGGGGACAGATTCATCAACCATTCCCATTCCACGTGTTACAAAGTCGTGGTGGTAAAACCCTCTTTAAGTGGCCTTGATAGGATAGACGAAGACCCCGTAACCGAGGTGCTAAATATCTACCAAGGAACTCTCAGAAAGTAACGAAGACCACAGAAACACTCAACGCATGGGAAGGATACAAAAAAGAAAAGATAAACAACCGCTAGCACCCAAATAGACTTGGCGTACCTTGAAAAACACGAGACTCACACACGAGCAGCAGAAGAAGCTGTCACACGAAGCCACAGCAGCAAAAATGCAAACCACCTCAACCAGACTAGACAACCGCAAATAGTGAAAACTAATAGCTTTGCACGATACAGTCAAGGAAACAGCAGTCGAAAACCGAAATCTAACAACTATTAACACTGTAGCAAACAGCAGCCAAACTTACTATAGCGACAGCAATGGTAAAACCCAAAATAGCAAGCAAACAGCCACGATGAAAACCAACCCATAATACAATATCCTCGGAAAAACAGAAGCTGAAACCACTTGAGGCAGCCATGTAGCAATCACTGACAATAACGCAACACACAGCAACCAGCAGAAGTTGGACAGCTAAGGATAAACAACAGGTTTAACGGCCAAAAAAAAAACCAAACTAGCAACCCACGCCTATAGTTTACTAGATGAGAACCAGCAGGTGCAAGGCCAAACTGCAGCAACTGCAGCAACCACAATAGCGTGGAAAGAAACCAAACCAAAAAACAGCAGAATTCAAGTCAATACCTGAAGCTTAAACTTGCACATAAAATCATACGTGCAATCACAACCAAACAACAGTACCATGAGGCAAGACAATAGCCACGAGCACCAACCCCAACCAAGCGAAAGAGAACCAAGCAACCAGTAACCAACATAAAACTGCTGCAAGAAAAACGTACCAGAACTAGAAGCCGGGAAAACCGACGACTGGAAACAAACTACAGTAACAAGAAGCGGTCCTAACCAAACAACCAAAAATCCAGACGGCCAAAAATAGAAACAGTAGGCAGCGACAACTCAACCAAGATAGCAGTAAAAAAACAAACAGAAACAGCAGCAACAGATTTCCGCAAAGAAGCCAGCAACACAACAGGCCCAAAAGGAGAAGACGATCAAACAGCAGCGAGAAAAAACTAGAAAAAACGTACCAAGCAAATCACGCAGACTACAGACAGCGAAGGCCGAAGAAACAGAAAACAACAACGAAACACTCCACTCCACCCTTCGATCGAAACACCCAGCGTGTGATAACCGGATCCTGATTATCACCCGAGGTAATTAATATGTGATTATTTGTTAAATAATTATGTGACAGCATGATGAATTGCTATATTTGATCATGCTAGTAAGAGAATTTTATGCATAGGAATTTTATGCATAATGTGAAATGCATATAATATATATATATATATATGTATGTATATGTATGCATGATTTATGTGCATGGTATGTGTGTGTGTATACATGTAGGGGGGAAGAAGAAGGCTATAGAAGCCAACTTTCCTGAAAAGGAAAGTATAAAAGGAGGCTTAACCTCTCCTTTACACTCTTCTGTCCAAATTGAGAAAAGTTGAGCGATTTAAGGGGACGGACTGAAGTACACTCTGAACATGAAGAATCCCATTCCGGGAATGTTCAAGAGAGATCAATGCCACACCTCGGGTATGTAACCAGAGATATATGCTGGCAGAGGAAATGAGAAAGTTAAAGGGAAACTCTGACATCCATTATGGGAGTACCGGTTAGGGTGGAAACGAAATGAGTGGAAGTTCATCCCTCTATTCCAATTACTCATAACAAAGAAGGAGACATTAAGATGTTATTGGCGTGGAAACCACCAACTTTCTCTGGAGAAAGAGATCCAGTGAAAGCTATGTGTTGGATCAAGTAAATTGAATCTGTATTTAACACCATAAGATGCCCAGAAACAGATAAAGTCCGATTTGATGTCTTAGTGTTAAAATCAAATGCTCTATTTTGGTAGGAAGTTGAATCATTAGCCAGAAAAGATGTCTTACAAGCATTATCCTGGACAAAATTTGTGGATCGATTCAAGGAACAGTTTTGCCCTAAGACAGCTGTACGACAAATAGAATAAGACTTTCTGAAATTGGAACAGGGAAACAGAACAGTTCGAGAGTACACTGAGAAGTTTATTGAATACTCTCGATTTGCGGAACACTATATCTCATCGGAATCCAGGAAGGTGGAAAGGTATATCTAGGGGTTGAAACCCTCAATCAGAAAATTTGTAATTGCTATGAACCCCAATACCTTTTCCCTAACTGTGGATGCGGCCGAAGTAACAGAACGGATAAGAATCGGCAAGCAGAGGGTAAAGTTATGGAGAAGAGAAGATGTGAAGGGTCTTCATCTAACTTTCGAGAGCCAAAAATAGTAAGATATGATAATAGAACTGAACAAAAGGGTAGTGAGAAAGTCTATTCACAATGCCGACAGGTTCATCAAGGTGAATGTAAGATGGACCCAAGGAAGTGTTATAAGTGTGGCGAGGCGGGCCATTTATCAAGAAATTACCCAGCCAACCGAAGGTGTTTCAATTGCAATTCTCCGGATCATATACGACCAAATTGTCCATTGTTGAGAACTCCACAGCTGACAATGGGGAGTAATGTGTCGGGAACTCGGGGAAGACCTACTGTATCAAGAGGAGGGGAAGGAGGGGCACGGGGACGGTCCTTCCAGATGACAAAAAATGAGGTAGAGGCATCGCCAGATGTAGTAACATGTATCTTCCTTCTGAATTCTATACATGTTGTTAGACCCATAATTTATAAGTGTAAAAATGTTATAACCAGGTTTGAGACAACCTAAGCTGAGGTAATTTAT